GTTCACGAATAAACCTTCTTTGTTAAATATTGTGTTGGTTTTAATTCACCACGAGGAACGTTACAATAGTATTACTTATATCGTACTATAATCCATCGTATCTTCTCTTCGATGTCTGAGTTTCCAAGATTTTGTGAAACTTCTTTATGTTTCACGGGGAAAATCTTGAATTTTCTCTGCGGGACTGATTCAGTCTTTCCATTGTGAAAACTATTGAGCAGGTTGTTGCTCCGAATACATCGGGCGGTCGTTCCTTCATCACCACCTGCCGCAAAGGACTGGGGCATGGCCGTCAGACGAACGAGCCTGGACTCAGGTAAAGTGGTCGTTGGGGAGGGGTCCAGGGATTTCCAAGTCCGATATGGCACCGGGCAGTGGTTCGCAAATAGACAACGTGGAGAATGCTCACACCAAGTTCTCTGATTTTCTTGCTGGGTGCGCTTCACCGCTTTACACTTCCTGCTCCACGATCATTCCTCTTACGATTTCAGTTACATTTACTCATGGCAAAATTTAAGTTATGTGATCTCGAAGCACAAAATTCTATTGAGTTACCAATTCAAAAAAAATCTAATTTACTATTTTCTTGCTTGCAGTATCAACAATTCTAATTGGCAAAATGTGTATCACATACGAATTAGCGGTTTGTAGAGTAGATTGCTGGGCCATCTACAAATGTGGCAATGGATGTAAATGGTGTGTTAGGTATGTCAGCTATGTAGATATATCTACAAAGCGAGACATAGTACTAGAACTAGAACAGCAGTAGAAGATCTACAAGATCATCTCAACGTTTTTTCTGATTGGGAAAAAACATGGCATATTCAGATAAACGCAAGCAAGAATCAAGGAAAAATATTCACTTTTCAATATTCGACGACCCTTCGATCGCCCACGCTCACATATCAAAACCATAACATTGCATGGATTCCCGCGAACAGCACGGCAAACTACCTAGGAGTTTTATTTGACACACATGGAGATCAAATATCATGCACATAATTGCATTAGCCACTAGAAGTTACCCTACTTAAGAAATAATCCCCACTTCAATTACACACATCCTTTCAAACAATGATTCGACATATTATGTTATGCATCTCCAGGCTGGGCCGCAGTATCCAAAACCAATCCCTCTTCCTAAGAATAATCACAAAACACCCTGGTTTATCCCTAACTCTAAACTCCATCAAGAACTCAATATCACCCCTATCACTGTAAATTTCTCCCATTTATCCGCAAAATTATAAAACAAAATTTCTCAAATACCTTCCGGTACCTATTTCAAATTGGGTAAACAGAACCTCCATCGGAAACGTTTGAAAAGGAAATTACCGAGAGAATTTTTTGACCCTCCTTAAGCAGGTTGGAAACGATTAGCCTCTCCGTGTAATATAATGTGCTTCTGAAATGAAATAACTACGATTAGGAAAATATATATTGTGAACTTGCTGTATAAAAAACAAATTATTGTATCAGTCGTTCAAGGCTGCTGAGGACCACAGGCCAAGCAAGGATAAATTTAAAAAAAGGAATTAGCAGTGACTGTTGCTTGTAATCCATTGTTGTAATGCCACACTTATGAGACGGCAGTGACCTTTTCTTTGACGTTAATATAAACTAATAATTTTATTTACGGCTAAAATACGCTTCATTCATTGTTGGTAATTTCATGTAGAACGGGAATACACTGAATTCAATGTAAGAATTCATTGTAGTTTGCGATGACTATGTGATGTAGATAATATTCTTATAAAGAAGGGTAATAAATTTATCTTAGAACTCACAAACACTTCTTTACTGAAAGGAGTTTTGATCGCTGATGGTATTCAAAAATTGAAAGCTCACTTCAATGTATTCAAACTAGGTAGTGTGAAATGATTCTTGTTTTTCGGGATTATGTTTTAACAGTTAAATTTTTTTCTGCTTGTTTCATTTGTAAAAGTAGGAAATTATTGCTGCTCCTGACTATCGAAATGAATGCATCACAGGTGCTTTGTTTGAATTTATTGAATTATGCGTTTTTAGGTAATAGCTGAGGTGTTACTAGCGCAGAAATTGCAATATTTCAGTATTACGTAAGCGTTTCCAATATTGCGAGAACATATGTGCTGCTATAATATCACTTTTTTTCAGCAACATTCTACGATTTCGTACGTACCACATTACGTATTACGTAAATTTCTACAGCAACAGCAGTACGAACTGCTGCTGACAGGTATCGTATACTTTAACTTAGATTGAACCACGAAACTGAGACCGTTCCTTTGTCTCTTCTGCCCAAATTGAAAGTAGCTGATCCTGAGTGATGCGAATGGATGTATTTTATTCAGGGTAGGATTTTAGTTGTGTGTGTGTGTGTGTGTGTGTGTGTGTGTGTGTGTGTGTGCTCGTGTGTGTGTGTGTGTGTGTGTGTGTGCTCGTGTGTGTGTGTGTGCTCGTGTGTGTGTGTGTGTGCTCGTGTGTGTGTGCGTGTGCGTGTAACAAAATTGTGGTGGGGTCTCCCTCTGAAAAAAAAAATCCTTCAGATATACTCACTGCTTTTTAGCACAGATACTCTTTTACGAGATTTAGGCTATTTGATAAGGAATTATTTTACAGATACAAATTTTTGATATTTTTTTGCGAATATCTTGTAATTCTTTTCAGGGTATGCCCCCTCCCCCTAAGCAGCTGCTTATTTAGCTTGAAGGGAAATCCAGATTTTATTTTATTTATTGTTTGTTTATCAATAAATGCAATTTGCTAAATATCTGAGGGAAATTGTTCAAAATGACTGACACACTAGCATTCAGATTTTGATGACTCAAGAACGTGTTGCAACAGTTATAACTGTTGATTGATGCCTCCAACATTTTTTGTGAATGTTTTGTTGCAAACAAAAATTCTGATCATAATCCCCATGATCTTGACCACAGACAGGCCACAAAGATGCATTAATGAAATTGTTCCTATCCCTACTTTTTGTATCACTCTTCTCTGAATGTGATTGTCAATCACCATGGTAAAATGGAAATCACAATATCTGAATTTGAGAGGTGATTCTGCAATTGGAGTCACAATTCAATTCCATATGAATCAAATGGAGTGCCATACTGCAGGAAAAAAACATGACCCTGTCGTTTTACTGGATATGTAAACGTGCCAAGGAAGCATTTCTTGACATTAACTTGTCTTGCTGCTCCTAGAAGTGTATACGAGTGCTTAAGATAAGCATGTTTCAGATGTCTGACAAGTGGCCTTCCAAATGATGCTGATTTGTGAAGTGCAAACTATTCTTTTATTACTATATAAATCTGATTCTCTCATCATTGCATTGTATTTGCTAAATGATATTGGGAGATCCCCTGTCATGTGTGTAAGGGTAGTTCATAAGATAATTCAAATTATGACATTTATTGTTTATTTTGAAGTTATCCTAGAACAACTAAGATACCTGAATAATTGCAAATCTCAGAAATATGGTATTTTTTTTTAACACTGCATTGTCATTGATTTTATATGAAATGGAATTTTGCTAAATTAAAAAAAATACTGACTTTATGCATATTTCCCATAACTATATTGTAAATAATGTTAAAATGTAATTTTAATTTTTAACTTTAAATACAGAAAAAAATGTTAATAAAGCAGGATAAATCATATTCTTTTCATGTCATAAATACTACTAGAATGTGAACTAATGACAGAAAGTCTTGAGAACTGCGATATTCAAGTATGTATTATTTAAAAAATACTTTTCACTACCTGCAGTATGTATCTGTAATTCATGTTAGAGCCCACCTAAGGATGCTGTATGTTCATTGCAGAAATTAAAGTATGGTTCCTTGGGTTTTGATAAAGCAGCGAAAGGAAATTAAGGCTACTGGTGATTCCTTTAAAAGAATGCTCTTATTATTTCAAATTTTGCCAATTCCCCTCATTCCTAATCCAATTAAGTTACTGCAGATGATTGCATTACTCAAGAATAGGAATGACATCAGCATATTTTTTATTTTAGGTGGGTAGATCGCAAGAATTATTTAGAATTGTCAAGGCCATGGTATGCCAAATCTCTACCTTTTCCATATAATTACTATTACCCAGGAAGGTATGAAAGGGATGCTAAAAAAATAATGGAAACTCTATATGAAGTGTGTTGGGATGATCCTGTGGTTGAAACTGGGGTAAGTACCGAGGAATAATTCTATATATTAGAAGAGTATTGAATACAAAGAATTGAACATGATAGAATGGCTTTTGCACCTTTTAATAGTGCTTTCTGTTCAAGGTAATAAAATGATTCATTCATATTGATTATATATTTAGTTGTGAAAATGGCACAGGCACTGTTGCTGAGTTACAAAATAAATTAAGAAAAGTGATATTGATTTTTGCTGAATTGTTAATAATCTGTTCAAATTATTAGCCACAGTATTCAGTTTTAAGATAATTTTATTTATCAAGTAACTATACACTGAACTGTGTATGTATCTACACCAAATTAATTACAATGAGCTGACTTACCCTTTTGCAATGTTTAAAACATAAATTTCTCAAATACAATTAATAAAATATTTAAATTAAATATGTTCTACACTGAGGTAACAAAAATTGTAGGGAACCGAATATCATGTTGGACTCTCCTCCTTTTGCCCGGCGAAATGCAACACCTGTACGTGGCATGGACTCAAGTTCTTGGAAGTCAGTCTGCTGCAGAAATATTGTGCTGCCTCTATAGCCATCCATAATTGCGAATCTTGTCGGTGCTTTTTAGCGATCGTCCATGTAGTGGTTTGTCTCTCGATTTCTTTAACAATTTTTGTGTCTCACAAATCTTGCTAAGTAGCATCAGAAGTTCGGTGTCTAGTGTTATTCTCCGTGTCTTGCGTAGTAGTTTTTGGATGTGTATTTACCTCCACTGGCAGATCTGTACCTCTCGAGGTTCCAAACACACGCTCCAAGTCGTACAAACACCGAAAGCGGTAGCATCTATTGGACTGTGTAGAACACCAACAAATCCAAACTCATCGCATGTTAGTGGCAAACAACCCAGGTGTTTTTTTCCGGAGTTTGGAGAAAAAATCGTGCAAACTTGTATATGCTGCTGTGCCGTGCCGTCAAAACTTCTTAGCCAAGGAGGCAGGAAAACGTCTTAAATTCAAGAGTTCGGAAAACGCGATCGGTTAATGTGGGGTGTAAAAGCACAGATCGTCCCGATTGTTATCGGAACTCAGGGATTTGTTCCGCAAAATTTCAGTACTTGGCTAAAGTCCCGTGTCATTGAAAAGCCTGAGAAGTGTAAGACATTGCTGTTATTGGGAACATCCCACATTATTCGCAAAGTATTGTAGAGGACCGACAATGCCTAGATATTCTCTTTAGGAAGCTGGTTCCAACCCGGAGTAGACCTTATAATCAACCGTCTTATAACATCTTTAGTCGTGAATTAGAGTAATAATAATAATAATAATAATGATAATAATAATAATAATAATAATAATAATAATAAAGGAATAATAATGGAAGAGTCAAACCTTCCCTCAAAGGCACAAATAGAGGACTTTTGGAAGCCTATCTGGTCATCTGCTGTGTCCCACAACC